CCTGCTTTGGATCAATCACTAGGAAACAGAGTTCCAGTCTTGCCTTAGCCATGAAAGCTAGCTGGGTAACCTTGGGCCAATCACTAGCAGACTGTGAGTTCTCCTGCCTTAACCATGAAAACCAGATGGGTGACTTTGGGCTGATCACCAGGAGACTGTGAGTTCTAGTCCCACCTTAAGGTATAAAAGGTATTCCTTCCCCTGCAGCCGCTCTCAGTCAGTGTTGATAGGAGGGGAGAGATCCAAACCTTGCCCACTGCTTTACGGGGTTTTGCAGGGCTCAGTACTCTCTCCGCTCCTGTTCAACCTTTATATGAAGCCGCTGGGTGAGATCATCCATCACCATGGATTGAGGTATCACCAATATGCTGATGATACTCAGCTATATGTCTCGGCACATGGTGAGTTAAGTGATGCTGTGTCCTCCCTTTCACAACGCCTGGAGGCTGTTGGGGCTGGATGGGAAGCAACGGGTTGAAACTAAACCCTTGTAAGACCAAATGGCTTTAGGTTTGGGGTTCGTTGGTTCAGGGAGAATGGCCATCTTTAGTCTTGGATGGGGTGGCACTACCCCAAACAGACCCTGTGCGTAACCTAGGGGTTTTCCTGGACTCACGACTCCTGTTTGAAGAGCAGGTGGCGGTTGTGGCCAGGAGGGCCTTTGCGCAACTGCAGATTGTGCACCAGTTACACCCTTTCCTCGATCAGTGGTCCCTACTCACAGTCACTCATGCCCTGGTCACTTCCTGTCTTAATTATTGCAACACACTCTACATGGGGCTTCCCTTGAAGAGCATCCAGAAGTTCCAGTTGGTGAAAAATGCAGCGGCCCACGTGGTTTTATGCAGACCCTGGTGTGCACATGTGTCACCTGTCCTGCAGGAGCTGCATTGGTTGCCAATTTGCTTCCGGGTGCAATTCAAGGTGCTGGTTATCAACTTTAAAGCCCTTGGATTGGGTATGGGTTATCTAAAGAAACATTTCTTGCCAGTCACATCCACTCAACCCATTAGAGCGAGAAGGCATGGAATGTTGTGAGTCCCACCACTGAGGGAGATACACCTGGTGGGACACAAAAAAGGACCTTCTCTGTGGTGGCTCCATCTCTGGAACATCATTCCCCCAGAGATTAGAATGGCCCTCTCATTAATACTATTCCGAGAGGCACTGAAGTTTTGCCAGCAGGCCTGGGGAACCCAGAGAGGGATAGTGTTGCTAGTGTGATCTAGCCACCATCAGGTGGCTAGTGTGATCTGTCATCGGGGTGGGGGGTGCAAGTTGGTTTTTGTTTTCTTGTTTTGTTTTTTGTTTTTCCAAATTTTGTTTTATTGTACTTTACTAATTTATTTGATTCTTTTTGTAAGTTTTTATTGTTTTTATTTTTATTTTTTTGTTTTAAATATGGTTTTACATTATGTAAGCCGCCTTGAGTCGCCATGGGCGAATAGGCGGCAATAATGAATGAATGAATGAATGAATGAATGAATGAATGCCAGCTGGGTGACTTTGGGCCAGTGATTCTCTCCTCAGCCCAGCCCACCTCACAGGGTGGTGGTTATAGGGAAAATGGGAGGAAGAAGAGTGTTGAAAATTTTTGCAACCTGGAGTTATTTGTAAAAATAACAAATGTGGGATAAAAATGAAATGAAATGGAAATAAAAGTTCCTTTCTAATTCCTAATCAATATTAGGAACTGTGGTGGCACAGTGGTGAGAATGTAGTATTGCAGGCTAATTCTGCTGATTGCCAGAGGTTCGCTTTTCAGGGGCTCAAAGTTGACTCAGCTTTCCATCCTTCCCAGATTGGTAAAATGAAGACCCAGATTGTTGGAGGAAATATGCTGGTCCTGTAAACCCCTTAAAATGGGCTGTATAGCAGTGTGAAGCATTGTATAAGTCTAAATGCTACTGCTACAGTGGTGGGATTCATTTTTTTTTTTTTTACTACCGGTTCTGTGGGCGTGGCTTGGTGGGGATGGCAGGGGAAGGATACTGTAAAATCTCCAGTCAGAGGTGGTATTTGCTGGTTCTCTGAACTACTCAGAATTTCCACCATCGGTTCTCCAGAACTGGTCAGAACCTGCTGAATACTACCTCTGTACTGATAGTAGCAACAGATTTGTTAAAATCCAACAGATTTAAAGATAAGGTTGAAGAAGGTTCCTTAAATGTAAAAGACTAGACAGCAAACAAGTTCTTCCTCACTTACTGGTTTGGTCAGTTTGAATAGGTGGTTTGTTCAGGGAAAATAAAACTACAATTACGTTTGTTTTTTGCTTTTACTGAAATGTCTCTGTGTAGTTGTCAATGGAATTTTATATGATTCAGAACTGAGTAGACAGACGTTCTAGAATCTCTCCCACTATTTAATCTGATTTACTACCAAGATTGCAAAATTTAATGCAAGAAGTCAAGTCACAAAAGGTTTCTAGAAGTGAATGTAAAAAAAAAAACGGGTTTATCACAACTGCTGTGATAGTTGTTTTGGTATCAAGTGATGCAACTTTTAAACTTTTGGAGTCAGATGGAGTAGTGTAGTTTCTTTTTTTATATATTAAAAAGTTTTTATTTTATTTTTAACAACAAACATAGAGAAACATAAACATAAAGCAACAAATAAAATATTCTTTCAATTGTACAGTGTGTCGGTTGATACATATTTCTTGTGCAGTTTTTTCCTCTTAGGTTTTAATTTGCATTCATGTCACATTAATCAACTTTCCATGTCTTATTATATTATTATATCATCATTAGACTCTGATTTCAAATCCACATTGTCCTTTAGAGCGAATCTCAATTCTTACTAATTTTAGTTCATATTATAATTCATTCCAAAATAATCAATTATAACATATCATTGCTGTTGTATTATATTTCATTTTCCTATTTTTCTATCTAACCATTAGTGAAATAAATCCCATATCTAAAAGTACTCTTTTTCTTCTTGCTCTCTAATTGCTAATGTTATAATCTACTCATTTCTGCACATTCCATTATTTTCTTAATCACCTCCTCCTCCCTCGGAATTTTCTCATTTTTCCAATTTTGAGCAAATGCAATTCTAGCTGCAGTTAAAACATTAATAATCAGATAACCCAGTTCTTTGTAATAACCTTCGGGTAATATTCCCAACACAAATTATCTCAGGTTTTAAATCTATATGTTGTTTTGTCATTTTTTCCAGCCATGTGTGTATTTTAGTCCAATATCTTTTAGCATCCGCACATGTTCACCACATATGGTAATATGATCCAGGTATCTGATGACATTTCCAACACTTCTCCGATTTGGAATAGTGTAGTTCCATTGATGACTAATCCAATTGATTTAGCATTGGCAGTTGAGGATTACTATTAATTTTTTAAGGAACTTCTGACTGAGATATTTCCAGCACGTTTTGTTCAAATATACAATATTATGACATCAGCCCATGAACAACTGATATGGAATTTGCTCCTTGATCCAGCTAATAGAACAAGATTGGCATAGTCTTCACATCTGATTTTTTTTTTTCCAGATTTTTCTCAGACTCTCTGTTTTTGTTCTGGGCCTTCTCTGTTCTTTTAACTCCAGATTGCAATACTTTTAAGTGTTAGTACAGTATTACAAAAATTGCTTGTGTAACTTCAATCTCTTTTCAGATATTCAAAAACACATGAACTTTTTCTTTTGAAAAAAGATGGTTACTTCAATAAGATCAGAACATTTATTATCTAGCATTTGATTCTTGTAAAAGCAAAGCCAACGCTTAGATTCAGGGATGAAAAGATGAAATAAAATTCTGTGGCAGGCAAGAGTTATAAGAAGCTTGCCCTAAGAAGCTCATGCTTTTAAAAGTGCAAGTTCCAATCTTCTGGGTTTGCTTTCAGGTGTGGGAAGATATATTCATCTGAATCAGTTCCAAGCTGGCAGAGAGACACTGGAAACATGGAGGCTGATTGGAAGTATGGTTTATCGATGAAGCAGAACCACATGAGTTGTGATTCTGGGAAGCTAACAAAATGGAGTTGACAGTGGGGTTTTTTTTATACCTTACCTGGGCTTTGTATTTGAACTTCCTGTTCCTTTGCAAAAACATGTATTCTATTTGCTGTTGTCCGATTCCTATGCGGTCATATAGGAGTTATGTAGGGGTCATATCTGGCTCTATAGGCAGATGAGGAAATGCATGTCCTATGGGCTTGTCTGAGCTAATTTGGTTGAAGTTTGGACTGCTTTGGGGTGATGCATTGAAGGGGTTTGTGTTCTGAAAGAATGTTGGGCAATTCCTAATGTGGCTTAATGGCTTTGTCCTGGTTTGGATCTTGAGTGAAGGGTTAATCCTACCTTTGTTAGGTAATTCTGCCTTTGTTCTGATTTTGCTGCATGGAGTTTCAAAATATCATGTCTTGAATGGATTACCAAATCTGCATTTCTAAAAGTTGCCTCCACAGTTTCTGCTTGGGGGAAGGGAGATTGGGGCTACTTCCTGCCTCTAAACCCCCCCCCCCCCCATGTTTTTCCATTTCTCATTTAGAAAAATATAATATTCTGCCTTGTTTAATAGTCCTCAAAATATTTCATTCTTCTTTTATTCATTCCCACACAAGGAAGAACATTAAGACAAACAAAAGAAAATATAAGTGGGTTGGCACATAGGGCCATAACGGCTGGGCTTTCTCATTTAAATAAGACGAACCACATTATGGAATATTATAGACATAATATATTATTAGTAGTTAATCAGTTACTTCCCTCCAGCAGTTGTGGGTGTTCAGATACTAGAAGTTTTTAATAAGAATTTGGACAGCCATTTATCTGAAAGGGTATAGGGCCTCCTGCTTGACCAGGGAATTGGATTAGAAGATGTCCAAGTTCCCTTCCAACTCTGTTATTCTGTTATCTTTGTAAACCATAATGAGTTTATTTGTTCTTGATGAAGGAGGAACAATGATCCTGAATAGTAAAGCATGAGCCATACACACACACACACATTTAAATATGCATCTTTATTACACTGTAAATGCTTTAACACATAATATTCAGAAGACGGTATAGTACATTAGAACAATGCAAGAATTTGCATTGATAAGCTGTCCAGGTGTTTTTAAAAGCTATTCCACAGAAGATTTAAAAAGTGAAGCTGTTTTGTTTAAAAATCTGAGAAGGCAATCAGGAAAGCTGGTAGCATGTTTTCTGTCCAGTCAAATATTGAAGTCCTAAATGACAACATTCCAGTTCTCCATTTTTCTGACATTCCTATTCAAAAAGAGGAAGAGATATTTCTGGTTATCTGAGAGAATTAGGATGATACCCCTTGTCCCAACAACAGATCATTTTCAACCATTTGCAAAGGTAAAAGGTTTCCCTGCCAGTTGTGTCCGACTCTAGAGCATAGTGCTCATCTCCATTTCTTGGGTGAGGGAGCCAACATTGTCCAAAGACAATTTCTGTGGTCATGTGTCTAGCATGGTTACATGCCAAAGGCACATGGAATATGTCCTATTAAATTTAGACTTTGTTTATATTAACATGAAATTACATTTAATTTAAGGGTTCCACTAGAGGGTTCCTTGTGAGGGTCATTCAATCATTCAAATGTGATGAATTTTAACTTCCATTAAAAACATTATATATCCAAACCAGATTGTGTTGTTCCTCTGTGTCGTATAATATATGTGGGTATTTACACAATTTTGTATTTATTTATTTAGTCATTTATTTATTTAGTTATGTAGTGTATATTGGACGCGGTGACCCTTTGAGAGCTGTATGCAATGGAATTTCATTTTAATGTATGACAATTAGTGTACATTCAAAGTGACAATAAAATTATTCTAAGTCTAACCAGCCATAAAGTCCACATTGAGGGAAGCTGTATAGCAATTTGTGGCTGTATAGCAATCAGAATCAATGGGAGCCCAAATTGGTTGAATTATTTTTAAACCCAGGCTCTTACTGATTAAGAAGTTGCTAGAAATGGGCCTCTCCTCTCACATCTGCTGTTGGATAAAGGACTTTCTTACTAACAGACCCCAAACTGTTAGGATTGGCAGCTATTTTTCCTCCACTCTTGCTCTCAGCATTGGCTCTCCACAGGGTTGTGTGCTGAGCCCCCTTTTGTATTCACTCTACATCTACGACTGCACTCCCTCTAACTCTATAATAAAATTTGCAGATGACACCACGTTGGTGGGACTCATATCAGGAGAAGACGAGACGGCCAATAGGTCAGAGGTTCTCAGACTGGTCTTGTGGTTCAAGAGTCAGAACCTCGCCCTGAACATCAAAAAGACCAAAGACATTATAGACTTCAGAAGATGCAAAGCAGAGCCTCTCCCACTATATATCAATGGAGACTGTGTGGAAAGAGTACACAGTTTTAAATTTCTAGGAACTCATATTTCTGACAACCTTACTTGGTCAGTCCACACTATGGCCACTGCAAAGAATTCCCAACAGCCCCTGCACTTTCTGGTCTGGGTGAGAAGTTGCTGGTTACTTTTTACCATTCTACCATTGAGAGCATTTTGGCATACTGTGTAACGGTGTGGTATGCTGGATGCTCTGTAGTGGATAAGAAGATGCTCCAGAGAGTTATAAACACAGCACAAAAAAATCATCAGTTGCTCTCTTTCTTCTTTGGAAGAGATTGTGAAGACCAGACTCCTCTCTAGAGCACTAAAAATCTCCACAGACCATTCTCATCCTGGACATTCATATTTCGAACTGTTACCATCAGGGAGGCATTATAGGTGTCTTAAAATGAGGACTAATAGACTGAGAAACAGTTTCTTTTCCAAGGCAATAATTGTCTTGAATCAAACAATGCACATGTGATTTAGCCCTATGTATATAATGGCATTTTTAAACTATCTAACTTACTATATGTTTTAGATAGGTTTTAGACTAGGTTTTTAATTATTATTTTAATTATTTTATTTTTTAAATACTCTGTAGTGTGATTGTGATGTGGTGTTTGGGACACTGTGCTGGAGTAGCTTTCAAATTTCATTGTATTTGTAGAATGCAATGACAATAAAGGTATTCTATTCTATTCTATTCTATTCTATTCTATTCTATTCTATTCTATTCTATTCTATTCTATTCTATTCTATTCTATTCTATTCTATTCTATTCTATTCTATTCTATAAACACAACATATGCACATTCACATGCCTATAGTCTAGAAATGATTCAATCCAAGCTTCTAGGCTTCAGTTGCCCAAAGGGAAACCCTGGACATTAAGTGTGCTCCTCTTGCTTACCTCAACTTTTTTTTAATAAAGTTTTTATTTTTTATAACAAACATATAACAAACATACAAATGAAACATAAAAACATAAAACTATATTTCAATTATATACATACAGTATGTCAGTTGGTTACAATCCTTTGTGCTATCCTTTTTTTTACCATTACTCACAAGTTGTATAAATTCTCACCTTATCAATCTAACATTTGCTTATGTAATATCAATTATTAATCATTCATTTGACTAAACTATTTTTCCATCATTCTATACGAGATATTCTAAATTTCATTATAATTTAATCTTATACATTCATCCAATGGTTATATATTTTATATTGTATTCTATATCAATCTATCAACTTTTTATTGTAAAACTTCCTAATCTATTTCTTTACCCTGTCTTTTTATCTAACCATTGATAAAATAAATCCCATATCATATAAAATTGTTTGTCTTCTTGTTCTCTGATTTCAAATGTCAATTTACTCATTTCAGCACAGTCCATGATTTCTTCATAATTTCCTCCTGCATAGGTATTTTTTTTCATTTTTCCAATTCTTAGCAAATACAATTCTAGCCACTGTTAAAACATTTATAATCAAATATTTCAATTCTTTACTGTATATTTCCGGTATAATTCCCAATAAGAATATCTCAGGTTTAAAGTCTATGTGTTGTTTTATCATTTTTTCCAACCGTGTGGATTATAGTCCACTGCTTACCTCATCTTGACCATGCCCAGTAGGTAAGTATCAAGTTGAGAGCAATGCTCTTGAAAAATATCAATCTCAGTCCCATCACAGTGAGAGAAAGAAGATTCAACCTTTCGTCTGAAGAAAAAGAAGAAGAAAAAAGAAGATAAATATCAAGATGTTCCATTTGTCTGTTGAGATTGGTTGCTTATGATGCTTGGTAGACCAAGGGTGGGGACATATGGCCCTTTTACAATATGTGAACTTCAACTCCCAGAATTGCTGAGCCAACCATGTTGAAGTTGAAGTTCACAAATCTTTAAAGGGCCATAGTTCCCCATCTTTGGCTGGACCAACCAATATTTGATTGTGCCTTTTAAGAGTTCAGGGCTGAGTTGATGCTTCATGCTGAATCAAAAGTTAAAGATAGCTCTCGAATTACGACCACAATTGAGCCCAATGTTTATGCTGCTAAGTGAAACATGAGTTTGTCCCACTCAATGACCTTCCCTGCCACAGTTATTAAGTGAATCACCATAGTTGTTAAATTAGTCAAACTGGGGCACTGCAACTGTCATAAATATGAGTCAGTTGCCAAGCATCTGGATTTTGATCATGTGACTATAGGGATGCTACAACAGTCGCAAGTATGAAAACTGGTCATAAGATATTGTTTTCAGTGCTGTAATTTTGAACAGGTCACTAAATGAACTTTTATAAGTTGAAAACTACCTGTAATTTGTATGATATGGACTTAACATAATATATAAAGTCTGTTGCTGATTTTCATCAAGAAAAAGTGGCTTGATTTAATGGAGGAACAATATTGTTCTTTGTATATCTGTATTTATCTGTATTTAAATCATGGTTGCCCAACCTTTCGGCTTCCCTGGACTGCATAAAGTGAAGAGGAATTGTCTTGGGCTGCATATAAAATATATAATCCAGGTAATGAATACCAACTTTTATTTTTTTAGATTTTTTTTAAAAAATAATATCTTGTTGGAGTCACATTACTATCTGTTCAGGACTGTATGCAGCCCATGGGCCATGAGTTGGACACCTCTGATCTAAATAGTTAAGATTACGAATCCAGCTATTGTAAACCATATTTTGTGGCTTAATGTCATAAGTGAAACAGACCCACAAAGAAACGATAATTCAAGTCCCAAGTATGAATGTTAAGTCTGAAAAACGGTCATATATCACTTTTTTCACTGCTGATGTAACTTTGAACAGTCATTAAATGAACTGTCGAATGTCAAAAACCACCTGTACTTGCATGTTCAAAGAAATGATTCTACAGTGAAGGAGTGTGAGTTAAAATGAAATCACAATGTCAGTCACAATTGGGTTGGGTATTGGACTAAATGACCTACAATGTCCCTTCCACTCTGTTAATCTGTAAACATCTGTAACCAATTCAAACTTTGCTCTTTTGTGTGTGTGTTGGGCCTGCCACACATAGTAAATACGCGGTGAGTCTTAGAACTAGCATTCATAGTTGCCATCTTGACTTTTTTTGAGATTCCACCAAGCCCCAATGAAGACACCTTTGCAGGACTTTACACAACATTTTGCTTTTATTTCAACTTCTCACTGGTGTATCTTGTTCATATAGCTATATTGGTATAGGGTCTCCTGCTTGAGCAGGGAGTTGGACTGGATGAACTCCAAGGTCCCTTCTGTTAGCATATTAAACTTAGCAGCTGGAACAGTGAAGTGTACAATGGGCCACAATCCATAGTTGTCATTGATTGGTTGTTGTGGAGTAAAGGGGGAGTTTCCCTTTTTCTTCTGTGTGCTCTCTACGCTACGCTGTTCGTGATTTACCTCACAATGTTCCTAGTCCTCCTATCTTGACCGCTGTAAATTTTAATGCAAAATATATTCATTTATATAAAAGTACCAGATCTCGTCACTGTCTCTGACTTTGTGTGTACAGCTGCAATTCACACCTTCCAACACTGTTATTTTGACATGAGCTTTTACCCACAGTGAACATACCTGTTTCGAAAACTGGAGTGTCGGACTGAGTTTCTGAACACGTAGCATCCTCTATAGTAACAACAACAATGATCATTAATGATTATGATTATAATAAAAAGAGCAAGAAAGATTTCTGGAATGTTTTTGTCAGATGTCACCTTGATGATTGATGCTACGCTATGCTACTTGGCTGCAAGAAGCTATTTCGGTGCCAATCTGCCATAAACTTAGGGGCCTGTTAGGCCAAGGGATGATGTTGTGGCCCACCAGTGGCAGCAGAGCTGGTGGCAGACTTAGACAGTGAGGAGGTTGGGAAGGAACATGGGCCAGTCCTGGAGTCTGGGGAAGGTTCCAACAAGTGCTCTGCATCGGAGGCAGAGATGGGGCCAGGGCTGTCAGACAGTTATCAGTTGCCTTCAGAGTCAGAGATCAGTGGGACAGAAGAACAGCTGGAGCCTGTTCCCGGTATGCACATGCGCAGAGCTGCCAGGAGAAGGGAACAGTTAAGGAACAAGCATTGACTCGGGAGTGAAGGCTCAGGTGGACAGTGAATGACCCCTCCCATAGGGAATAAAGACGAGCAAAAGGGGAGTGGTGTTTGCAGGAGACAATTCAATTCATTGGGTGAAGATCTGTTCCTTACTTCATGCCAAGTAATTGCTGCTACAGCATGGCGCTTGGAAGATATCGGCCTGGCAACTCTCCAAGCCTGATAAAGGTCTGTAGTTGTAAAATCTCATGAAAGACTGTTTGCCGGGACTTTGCTGGAGAGGAATTCACTTTAACCTAAATAAAAAGAGTTTTATCAGGACGAGGAGTCTGCTTGATCTTGAGAAGTCTAGGTCAGAACAGATGAAATTTTATCATTCCACTCTGAGCACCTTCTCAAAGTCAACAGCTTGGGAATGGAGAGCACCTACATTCCCCAGAAAACCTTTCTGAAAAAATATTTATTTTGAATTTTTTGGACTTGGAGGGATCAGTTATGGGAGGTGCCTTTGGAAAGGGAAAAGTTACCCTGGGATTTTGGTGCATGGACATTCAGTTCTGGCTTTGCATTACTATATATCCCTTAACTTCTAATAAACTATTTCTTTCTCATCCTCAGTGGTGTTAAGGATCAGTTTTTTTAAAAGCTCACACTGAGGTAGGGCTGACAACTTTCCACATTTAGTGGCTTGCTCTCTTCTTTCTCCAACACACAAAAAAATAAAACAGATGTCCTACAGCCGTGCTACAAGCAGGGGCAACCATTATATTTATGTGCCTTGAATTACAATGTCCACCTGAGATCCTTATCCCTCTACTATTAAATACAACTAAATAGTAGTAGTACTAAGTACTAGTTGAAGGAAAAGGACCTCCTGAGGCCTGAGGCAAGCTAGGAAAAAATGAACATTTTAGTGGTGGCACCTCATTTCTAGAATATTTATTTATTTTATTTATTTGTCAATTGCTTACAAGATAATAGGTGTAAGTAAAAACATAGTTATGAATACATGGATACATATAAGAAAAATAAAAAAATATATAAAAGAAACAATAGGACAGGGACAGTAGGCATGTTGGTGCGCTTAGGCACGCCCCCTACAGACCTCTTAGGAAAGGGGTGAGGTCCATAGTAGACAGACTAAGGTTAAAGTTTTTGGGGTTTGGGGAAAAAAAGTCAGGTAGAGTATTCCAGACATTGACCGCTCTGTTGCTGAAGTCGTATTTCCTGCAATCAAGTTTGGTGCAGTTAACCTTGAGTTTGTATCTATTGTGTGCTGTTGTGTTGTTATGGTTAAAGATGAAGTATTCATTGACAGATAGGACATTGCAATGTATGATTTTATATACTATACTTAGATTGGACTGAAGGCGGCATAGTTCTAGGTTTCTAGGTCTAGAATTTCGTGTCTGGTGGCATCAGGTATTCTGCAACGACTAGAGGAGTTGATATCTCCTCTACTCTTCAGCAGAAGCTCACCTGATGTCTTCATAATGGTCTTCTGAAAACTAGGTGAATATTTATCATTTCCCAAGCACTTCCAAAACCATTTGAAAGTTTACTTATTGATTATTATTTGTTATTAAATGTATTTGTCATCCATTTTAATGTTCGAAACCACTCTGAACATTATTGAATATTATTTCACTGCATTTATCTTTGCTATTCACAGCTATCTTTTTAAAACTAAACTTCAATTCTCCTTTTAACTAAAGAGAATAAATGATATTATTTTAGAAAATATGCGTGTCTTTAAAAATATCACATGGTGCATGGTTAAAAACTTGTTATACCACTCAGGGAAGTAAGGATTTAGGAAAGTTTAAACAATATAAGAAATACACATCTCAATAAACTTTGAGAAACCTTATTTGTTCCCACCCCTTTCTGCAAAACAGTTGCAGATTCTCACATCAAACTGTAGACCACATCCTGACCAGAGATAGGCTGAGGGCATGTACTGGTCTGGTATCTATTTTATTTTATTTTTAGTATAAATGATGCTGTATTTCAATGGTTAGATAGCCTAGAGCAATGATGGCTAACTTTTTCGGCACCAAGTGTCCCAAGCACGTATGTGCGTGCAAACCCCCCAAATGCAATGTGTGCATGCCCCTGTGCATTTGCCCTGTACATGTGTGCACATTCCCTGTGTGTGTGCCTCCCCATGCGCGTGCCCCTGCATGTGCCCCACCCCCCTGCGCATGCACACAGAGACCCGAAGACCAGCTGGCCATTGGGAGGCATGCGTGCATGCATGGTAGAGCTGAGCTGGGGTGACGGCTCGCGTGCCCAAAGACAGGGTTCTGCCTGCCACCTCTGGCATGTGTGCCATAGGTTCATCATCACGGGCCTAGATATTGCTATTTCAGCATAGATCTTTTCGACATTTATATTTTATTGTATTTTACTAATCTAACTCAAGTGTTAATATATAATATTGCTAGTCCATGGATGGTATGCCATACACTAAATGTATCTGCAAAACTGTCTTCTGGTCTAAGTGAGCCTCATATTTTCTGCAGGATGTCCAACAGATATTCAACCAGCCCTCAGGAACCATAAGAAAAGCAGCTATTATTGGTCTCTTTCTTCCTCCAAGTGGACTGGAGGGAGAAAGCTTTATTTTAGATATGGGTTCAACAGGAATTCCAATATTTACATCAATTTACCTTCTTTTTCAGCTTTGTAGGTTTGGCCTTTGTAAATAGCAGAGCATTGAAACTGATCCTTATTTTTGCTCCAAAGGACGACCCCAAGGCTGGCCGATTCTTTATCGCCATCTTTCACAACCACAACAGAGCCATTGGCTGCTACAGGATCCAAACTATCATTAAACTTCATGTTGATGGGAACAGGTGAATAGTCAGTAATGAGGCAAGCGGCTAGGTCGCCTGATTCTTTTTTGGATTCCAGCTGGTAGACAGAAGGTTCTGAAACACCAAGATCTACAATAAAAAAACAACATACATTGCTCAGCTCTGAGATCTGAAAAGCTTGGGAAACACATACAGACTTAGAACTGTTCATTTAGCAACCATTCGGAGTGACAATAGCACTGAAAAAAGACCTGAGCAGTGTGTGAAGTATCTGGCCCACGGGCCGCAAGTTTGACAGCCTTCGATTAAGTATTTGGTGGACTTCTGGACAAGATCCAAGAATGAACCCCAAAATTTCAGGTGGCCATGTGTGTTCTTAAGAACTCAGTTTAATCTAGCACATATCTACTGACCTCCTCTTAAAGTACTAATCAGGCTGGCTAAGCTTTTGAACCTGGACAAAACTGAGAAGATGCTGAAACCTCAAAACTGGTACTTAAGAGGACCGATGTTTCATCTTATTTAAAGGGAAGATAGATTAAAAGATTTTGGCAAGTCTAGTAACAAGCAGATAGGTAGGTAGATAGGTCTGGATCTAAAGAACCAGCAGGTAAATTCCAGATGTTTGAAGGTTGATAGGGACTTGTTCTCTTTGAAATTCAGCCTGCCCAAGTAGCCTTGTCAATATTCTCTGGAATTTAAGAAGTTTCCTAACTAATTTAGCAGGGATTTATCTCTCAGACATGTTTATACCTGAAATCCTAAAAAAAAGTTTTCATTTTGCCTTCTTGAATTTTTCAATTATTCCTGCCTCTTGAGGCATTAACTGTTATGAAACTCAGTAGTATAAATTCTGTCTTTTATCCCGCTTCTTTCTTTTGGTTGTTTCCTTTTTTATTCGTATCCATTTCATGTATTCATAACCATGCTTATACCTGTTATGTAATACTTGCTAGCCAAATAGATAGATAGATAGATAGATAGATAGATAGATAGATAGATAGATAGATGAATAAATCAATCAATCAATCAATCAATCAATCAATCTGTTGAAATTCTGGCTCTTTTGTCATTTTTTTCATTCTCATGGCCACAAGGGAGCCTCAGGAAAATGTATTTTTATTTGTTTATATTTCTTATTTCTTGATCACTCATTTCCCTGAGAGAATGGCTTGAGCAGTGTACAATACAATTTATGAAAATAACATTGAAATCAGAATTAAAGTAAGATTAAAAGTTTTAAAATTATAAAAATAGCATTATAACCTTTCAAAAGGTGAACAATTGCAAGATAGGGAGGGTTAGTAAGTTATTAATACAGGCAGGGGGGAGAAGTTGTCATAGGGCTGGCCAGCCTGATAGTTGTGTGGGACCTGTGTCCCCCCATGCCATTCAGTTTTTACCTCTTGTATTGAATATCCATGCACACATTCACAGTTCAAATACAAACACAAGCACAAAACCTTAATATCATATACTTTTACTTGTGTACTTTTTTTCTTGCAAAACAAGCTAATAACGTCTTCAAGTGCTTGCAAAACTTTCCAAAACTAATTTCAGAGAAAAACTCACAAAGCTTACGCCTCCTTCCCTGTGGGCTTTCATCTGATGCTATCATTTTATGACTAAGAGCTTACAATCTGAGCAATAGTAGCTTGTCTTACTGCATTTCCTGCTGTTGTTTTCATTTAGTGAATTAGCTGAAGACTTTAAAGAAATCTATATTAGGTTTGGACCCAACTCTGCATTCACTCTGCATTCACATCAAACCCAAGGACACCAGGGTTACAGAATATAAAATAACAAGAGTTGGAAAGGACCTTGGAGGTCCTTTAGTCCAAGCCCTTGCTCAAGCAAGAGAACCTATACCATTCTGGACAAATAGCTATCCAATCCCTTCTTAAAAACCTCCAGTGTTGGAACAACCACAGCTTCTGAAAGCAAGTTGTTCTACTGATTAAAAGTTCTCACCAACAGTAAATTTCTCCTTAATTCTAGATTGGACCTCTCTTTATTAATCTTCCATCTGTTACTTCTTGTCTTGACCTCAGGTAATTTGGAGAATAGGTTGACCCACTCCTCTCTGTGACAGCCCCTCAAATATAGCAGTTTTCCAATATTGGAGGAACTGTCACAGAGAGGAGTGGGTCAACCTATTCTTCAAAGACCTGAGGGGAAGACAAGAAGGAAGAAGTTCCAGTAAGAATTATAAAATGTATATGCATTAGACTGTGTAAGTGGATGTGACTTAGCAGTATAACTAAGTGTAAAATGTTCCATTCTTAGGGTTATGCTATATGAATTCTGGACATTTCTGAAAAACTACCAGGAACATCCCTAAAATTACTGAATTGGTGAGATCTTGAGGAAGAACAATATGGCCCCAGGGTTAATTTAGATAAAAACTGAGTTGAGATTAATCCAGCTCCAGGATATCTATCATAATATCATAGAATTCTTCTCTATTCAATTATCTGTCACCACAGGCTTTGTCCATGCTGTCCAAAAATTCTAGAGTTCAGGCCCAACCCCAATGTTTGAAGATTCGAAATCAATTACCACATTATCAGCATGTAAAAGTAACGAAATTATATCCCCCTGCAAATAATACATTTAACCTAGATATATACAATAGGAAAAGTATAGAATGGGCCAAAGTGGAATTTTTGCAAATATACTTGCCAAAGTGTCTGTGAAATTGAGAGAGAGAGAGAGAGAGAGAGAGAGAGAGAGAGAGAGAGAGAGAAGAAAGAAAGAAGAAAGAAAGAAAGAAAGAAAGAAAGAAAGAAAGAAAGAAAGAAGAAAGAAAGAAAGAAAGAAAGAAAGAAAGAAAGAAAGAAAGAAAGAAAATCTTACCAGGAAGAACTATAAGTTTGGTTCCACTGCCTAACTGAAAATTCCAAGTAGATTGCTGAACACTATGAAAAATGTCTTTACAGCATGGCAGCCTATTACACTGCTTCTTATTTGGGGGTGATTATCTTCACCATGGAAAGTCCTTCATGTTCCCAGCAACACTGACAAGGCAAGCCACAAGTATATACGAAATTCAGAGCAAGCCCCCCACTCTCTTCTAGTATGAGAGAGGGATCTTGGAGTCCTAGTGGACAATCACTTAAATATGAGCTACATGTATGCTGCAGCTGCCAAAAAAGCCAACACAGTTCTAGGTTCCATAAACATAAGAACAGAATCCAGATCATGTGAAGTGTTAATACCACTTTATAATGTCTTGGTAAGGCCACACTTGGAATTTGGGTCACCACAATGTAAAAAAGATGCTGAGACTCTAGAAAGAGTACAGAAAAGAGCAACAAAGATGATTAGGGGACTCAGGGACACAACATATAAAGAACACTTGCTGGAACTCGATATGTCTAGTCTGATGAAAAGAAGGACTACTAGGGTGACATGATAGCAGTGTTCTGATATCTCAGGGGCTGCCACAAAGAAGAGGGAATCAACTTATTTTCCAAAGCACCTGAGGACAGGACAAGAAGCAATGGGTGGAAACTAATCCAGGAAAGAAGCAACCTAGAACTAAGGAGAAATTTCCTGACACTTAGAACAATCAGTGGAACAACTTGCCTCCAGAAGTTGTGAATGCTCCAACACTGAAAGTTTTTAAGAAGAGATTGTCTGAAGTGGTGTAGGGTTTCCTGCCTAAGCAGAGGTTAAACTAGAAGACCTCCAAGGTCCCTTCTAAACTCTGTTATTCTATTCTACTGATGATGTTACCATGTTGGGTAATGAAATGTCTGCAAGAAAATCGCCAAGCTCAGAAAACACCAAGAACCCCACAAAAGTCCCAATTGTCTCCTAAAGAAGCACATTCAAAAATATTCATCTTACCAGGGATGACAACAAGTGTGGTCCCACTTCCAAAGTGAGTTTTGTCCGAGTACTGTAGCACTACAAAAAATACCTTTACAAAATGGCCTTCTTTGCTAGCTTCCAAGCACTGTTAACTGATCTGTTTATGAACAGTGTCCTAAATCCTATCTTCATTACAGTACTAAATTACCTCCATCTCCCATAAATATTGCTTCCCCTAAAATTCCACTTATTTTTTATGTTGTAAGTTGCCCAGAGTTGTTGGTACAAGATGGGTGAAAAATAAATTTTATAAATAAACAAATCAATGAACAAGCAAATAAATAAATAAATCCCCTCTTTCTCTTTTAAGAAAGAAGAGACGTAAGAGACTTTTATAATAAAGAAAAAGAAAAAAAGAGTCTGTTCTCTAAAACAAGCTAAACAAAGGCCTTTTTAAGAAGAGGACATGTTTAGCTGCAGAGTAGTCTCTTTTTTCTTTTCTACATTTTCTGTAAATTCCTAAACATTCCCAAGCATTAAATAAATGTTCTTATGTTGATTGTGCACAGCACCTGAATTCAGGGTGGAGGAGAATCACTTCCAGCTTTCAATCTGCTTTTTATATTTTTTTGTTTAAAAAAATATTTCCTTCTCCTATTTCCCCCCCCCCCCCCTTTTTTTTTTGCAAATTTTACACTTGAATTAAATGTGTAACCCTTTTAATTCAACTTTAAAATGTGCAAAAAAGGGGTTATCAATCCTGGACTGTGTAACCCAATTCAGAAAATACATAGAATCATAGAATTCTAAAAGTTTTGTTCTCCTCTCCATCCAGAGTGGACTTTACATATTACACTATAATATTCCTCTTATCTGCTTTTTTTGAAAATGTATTAATGCAATTTAAAGATTTATTCCCCAAAATTACTGGTCTTTGGGGATGGATCTTGAATAAACTGTCCCTGTACCTTCTGATTCTTGATGAATGTATCTTTTTTTTTTTTTTTACACTTAGAGCATTTGCACCAACCACACTTGGCCAATAAAGAATTTATTCTATTCTATTCTATTCTATTCTATTCTATTCTATTCTATTCTATTCTATTCTATTCTATTCTATTCTATTCTATTCTATTCTATTCTGACTGAACTTTCATTTTGTCAGTATCATAGCATTTTTTTTCTGATAAAATGGCAGGGTATGTTATTTTAAATTGCAGAACGCCAAGCTGAGGGTTATTTTATGAGCATAGATATGTTTTAATGGAGCTATTTGGGAATCAAAGTAACCCTAAAGAGAGATTACCAGTTTG